GTGTGTGCGTGTGTGTGTGCGTGTGTGTGTGTGTGTGTGTGTGTGCTTGTGTCTGTGTGTGTGACAGTATTTGCGTGTGTGCGTGTAACCAACGAATCAATCAATCAATCAATCAACCGACCATCCATTTTATGAGCAAAATCGAATGAATCTACCGCTAGAACATGGAAATATACACTTTTTTTTTTTTTTTTTTGACTAACCAAACCCCCCACCCGTAGTCCACCACGCGCGCATGCATATGGGTGGGTTGCGTTTACAAAAATCGCGCCATGTGGCGCGTGGCGCGTTGAACACGTCCTCCAGGCGTATGAATGCTCACGTTTGACCGAGAACGCTCGTTCAGCGCGTTCGAACGGTCACATAGCTCTCTCTCTCACACACACATGCACACGCACACACACACACACACACACACACACCCAAACAATCAATCAATCAACCCTTTTTTTCTTTATTTGTTTTAAATTTTTGCATCTTCATTTTTTTTAAACACCTAATTACCCTACAAGAAACCGAAAATCATTTCTCAAAAAATTCAGCAGAACTCAAGGACTAGCTTTCCCGGGGCGCCCGGCCGGGGGGGGACCACGCCCGGGGTACCCCGGGCATGTTTTTTTTTTTTTTTCTTTTTTTTTTTTCTTTTCCGGGGCCTTTCTGCGCATTCCGAGTACTGCATATACCCGGCCTCATAATAGGTTCGTAAGCCTCATATCTAATTTCTATGGATGGCATTGGATGTCGATTTAGGTCTGTTTCGGGGCAGTGAGGATGGTGAGGGGAGGGGGTGCAGAAGCGGGGTGGATCCTGGGTTGCCCGTTTTGAAGGACCAGGGATGCAGCAGCTGCTTTGTCCCGCCTGTACTTTAGCAACTGCAACTGGTGGCATGCACACAGCAACTACTGCATCCCTCGTGGACTCGCAAAAGTAAAGCAGGTTGAAGCACTCACAAGCAGCAAATGCCACCAAACAAAAATCCCCTGATTTCCGAACACTGTCGCAAAATAATGTCTCATACCGAGTCCGCTGCTGGAGACCGGYGGGACAGAGTTGCTCAAAGTTCGCTGCTTGAAATCACGGGGAGCAGCAGACTGAGTCTGAGTGTGGACTCAAACTTGARTTCCAGTCCACACTCAGACTCAAACCGAGTCTGAGTGTGGACTGAAACTCAATTTTGAGTCCACACTCAGACTCAGTCTGCTGCTCCCCGTGATTTSAAGCAGTAAACTTTGAGCAACTCTGTCCCGCTGGTCTCCAACAGCGGACTGAGTCAAAGTGTGGACTCAACATTCAGACCCGGTTCCAGTCCACACTTAGACTGAGTCCGCTGCTCCCCATGATTCCAAGCAGCCATGCAAGCAAACTCGAAGTCATGTTGTAAAGAATGGCAGGCTGTAAACAACGTAAGTGGCAAAGTGCAGCCGACAGTTTCACAGAAACTGTTGCTCGAACTTAGAGGTCCTATGAATTGTGATCGACAGTGAGCCTCCATTGACATAACATGGTAACAGACTGACAGTCATAACAGAAGAAGAAGAAGAAGAAGAAGAAGAAGAAGAAGAAGAAGTACAATAAGGAAAAGGCACAGCATTGATTGCCTTGGAAAACCCAAGGGATTAATTGTGCAAAAAAAACACCACTTTGACTATGACCGTTCAACATCATCAGCCCTCAGACCAGTACAAGTGTATGGCCTTCCAGCTTCCTCCCCCGCCGAGCCCTATTCCCAATCGCTTTCCCGATCATCCTCTTCAATCCCATCGCTCCTTTCCTCCGCATCCGTCGGATCGTCCTCAACGACCCTCGCCTTCCTCGCCGCCTTCCTCTTCGGCCGCTTCGACGGGTGTCTCCAAACCGTCCACAGTGAGTGCAGGGCCCCCTTGCACCTTCCTTCCTCCAATCACATGCTGTTCCACCTCACCCCCTTCACCACCATCCTCGCCGACCGGAGCGCAAGCTGATGGAGCTGGCTGAAGTGGGTACTTTCGCGGGCGCCCCCTTTTTCCTTGCCACTTTTGGACATGTGTCAGGCTGCACCTTCTTCTTCCTTCCCGCCAGGCTCACGTCCAAGTTGTCGTGCTGCACGTCCTTGACCTGCGCAGGGAAAGGAAGGGTTAGAACCACACCCCGGACTGCTGCTGCACTGGGCACTGGAGGCCGCCTGGAGTACACTCGAGCGACTCCCGTTGCACTCACGTTTTCTTTTTGCTGCTGCTGCAGCGGATCGTGCTCTAGTTGCTTATGTGGACCATCGTGCTCTTGCTGCTGATGCTGCTGCGTTCCATCCTCCTTTGTCTGCTGCTGCTGCTGCGCTCCATCCTTGTGCTGCTGATGCTGCTGCGGTGCATCCTGCTTTGTCTGCTGCTGCTGCTCCTGCGCTCCATCCTTGTGCTGCTCATGCTGCTGCGGTCCATCTCGTTTTGTGTGTTGCTACTGCTGCGCTCCATCCTTATGCTGCTGTTGTTGCGGATGCGGTCCATCTCCTTGTTGCTGTTGCTGCTCTACTCCATCGTGTTGTTCTTGTTGCTGCTGTTGCTGCCGATCATCCTGTTGTTGCACCTGCTGCTGCTGCAGTCCTTCCTCTGGCTGTTGCTGCCGATCATCTTGTTGTTGCAGGCCCTCCTCTTGTCTTTGCTCCTACAGGCCTTCCTCTCGCTGCTGGTGCTGCTGAACGTCTTCCTCTTGTTGTTCCCGTTGCATGCCTTCTGCATGCCGCTGCTGCTGAACCCCCTCCGCCGGTAGACATCTGCCTATTCCCGCTGTGGTATAGTTCATCCTCATTGGAGGGGGGACAACACTTCGTTTTGCTGCGTCTTCTTGTATCCATTGCTCCATAAGGGCGCGATCACGATGAGCAAGGGACTGCGCCCTCGCCCTCTCAGCGTCGTCATCGAGGTCCTTGTCCAGCTCGACGCATGCGTTGAAGTCCATCCCCCGAGGCCGCAAGAACTCCAGGTCACTATCAATGTAACCCCGCTCCATGTTACGTGTGAGGTCGTCATCCAGCTCGTTGTCGTCGCTAGATATGTCGCTCACTCTTGGCGACCGCAAAGTAAAGTTCTCGTGAACTTCCTCGCTCTCCTCAATATCCTCTTCCTCATCGTCCACATCAATCTGCACCTTGCCTTTGCCATCGATCTGCGCCTTGCCTTCGCCGTCATCGACAACAACCTTTTTGTTCTTGCCTTTGCCTCTCCAAAGTAGGTCCTCCCCATCATCACTGTTGTCCGTTGAGGTTGATCCATCAAGGACATGAGGCTTCATGACTTTAGCTCGGGGGATCTTCTTTAGATTTGCCCGGCGGGCCACTTCTTCGTCACTCAAGTCTGCTGTGGTTGCAGCCCTTGGCAACATTGCAGGATCATTCGGCGTTGGTGCCTCCACTTCATCGAAGAATGTAGCCCACATGTCCAAGTACCCTCCCAAGATGTATTCTTCTTCTTCTTGATGTCCAGCAGCTGAAGATTCCTGGACCAGTGGATGTACACTAACTTGTCGAGGCTGTCAGGCGACAGCGGACCCCTCCTCTTGTCGTGGACAAGATCGAGAGAGGACCACTTCCTCTCACAAGGGGTCGCAGTGCTTCACATCGCTGTCACTCTCATGGCAATGTCTCGCAACTTCTTGTGAGAGGCCCCATGGCGGTTCCACCATTCGAAGGCTGTCATTTGAGCAAGGGAGTTGTCGAAGATCGCAAACTCAGTCCACAAGCTCTCCTCCACCACTTTCCCTGTCACAGGATCCTTCACCAACATATTTTCAGTTGACGCCTTGTGGAAAGCTTGCAAGTCCGCCCATAGACCTAACTGCTTGTCGCGCCCCCAAGCGACATCCTCTTTGCACTGTGATAGGAAGAACTTGAGGGCGATTTGGACTAGCGGGGAATGCATGTCCATCAACCACTTGTTGTCTCTCCTCCTTGGGTCAAGAAGAAAGTCCGCTGCATGAACGGGCTGCCTAATCATCCTCGTCCGCTGCTTTACTTCCTTCATGATCCCCCGCCGCTGCTCATCGGTCAACCGCGCAAGTGTCTTCAGACGCTTGCCCAACCCTTCGTCAAAGTGCCAAAGGCTTGGGAAGGCTGTGCCGTTGCGGTCCATCTTCCTTAGTAGCTCGTATATCGGCTCCAACACATCCAAAATCATGCGCAACTTCTCCCAACCATTCGGACGCGGTAACAGTCTGGTACGTCAGGTCAGACTTATCTCGATCTTTCCTTGTGCTCCATCTCAACTGCCTCCACCCCTCCTCCATCATCTCCTCAAGCACACACCTTCTTCCCCAAAACCGGTTCATCATCATGTATGCGGAAGCGAAGCGGACCTCCGTGGGCAAAATCAATGTCAATTCCCTCGAAAGTTTTGAGCACCTCGTGTAAAGGTTGTTTGTGTTATGGTGTTTCCTTATGAACTTGACCATCATCTTCGTGCGCTGCACCACTTGCTTCACCCAGTCGAGCTCGCAGACATCCTTCATCAACAAGTTCAAGTGGTGAGCTGCGCAAGGGACCCATGAAATGCTTGATATATCACGATTCGAACGCCTTCGCAGGATCCGTGCAGCTTGCTTGTTTACTTCTGCATTTTCCGTGCAGATTGCATTAACCCAATGCACCCCAATGTCCCTGATCATCTGCTCCCACATTATCGCCAGAGTGACTGCAGTCTTCTTCTTCTTGGACATATCCACGACCTTCAATAGGATCGCACCGCTCTCGCCGGCCCCAATGAAGTTCATCACAGGTCTGTACCTTCGATCTGTGCACCCATCAGTGAGGAGAGTGCAACCTGTGTCATCCCACTTCGCTTTCAGTGGCTGCATGTCTTACTGCACCTTGTTGTATATGATGTCCAACACAACAGTTCGGATGACCTCCAAGGAAGGCATCTTCACCCGTTGCCTTTTCTCCCCCAACTCGAGGTACAAGTCGTGCAGCTCCTGTGTCTCTTTCGTCCTGACGTAGTTGAATGGGGCGCCGTGTCGAAAAAGGTGCATCCCCCATGCCACATCCAATCTGCTGCGAATCGTTGGTTGCCCACCTTTTGATCGATGATTGCGCAACTTCCCGGATTTWGGGCCCGCAGCGGATCCCTGCGCAGACGTCCCCGGCATTCCACCACCTTCTTCCACAACCCCCTCTCTTGCGTCTTCATCAACTTCCACAGTCGGCACCGTTCTGCTCTGTCGTGCTGTCGGTGGCACTATGAACGCATCCACTGTGTCCCCTTGTGCCTCCACCTCCGGAATTGCAGAAACCAAACCGTCCTGGGGGATGTTGTGCTCTATCCGATACAATTGGATGAGCCGCAATGTCTTCTTGCAGTCAATCGCATGCCCCTTTGCAGCTAGGATGTGAAGCATCTCCGGATAACGCGCGGGGCATGGATTAGTTTTCCGTGTGAAGTGCGGCCACACACGCGTGTACGACGCGACCCAATCTGCGCCCCACAGATTGCACTTAACTCTGTACTGCCCCTTCGACAATGGCGGGACCATCTGCCCATGCGTCACCCACTTGAATGCCACCTTCGTCGCCTATAGTTGCAACTGCCTTGCCTCAGGCTGCGGCTGAAACGGTTCCTTTACGCGTGTGCCTCTATCGTCCGAACCCACCGCCTCCTTCCCCCTCGAAGTGCCTGCCCCGCTTGAAGATGCCATCTTGCAGAAGGTTCACGAACAACGAGGAAAGAAGAATTTGAAGAAACAGCAGAAGAAGAAGAAGATGAAGAAGAAGAAAAAGAAGAAATGAGAAAAATGAAAAAATCGCAAAGTCAGGCTGGCTGAAGATGTGAGAGGCGGAAGGAGGCTCGGTGAACAAAATGAAAAAAATCGCAAAGTTAGACTGGGTGAAGATGTGAAAAAAATGAAAAAAATCGCAAAGTCAGGCTGGCTGAACAGGGACGCTATGGTGGTGAGGGAGGGACTCTAAGGAGGCTGAGAGGCGGAAGGAGGAGGAAGAAGAAGAAGAAGATGTGAAAAAAATGAAGAAAATCGCAAAGTTAGGCTGACAGCGACGAGGGAAGGCTATGGTGGTGAAGGGAGGAGGGGGGCGATGGCGGAGGAGGAGGGAGGAGGGAGGCTATGGCGAGCGGGCCTGTGCTGCGGCACTGCCGCGGCAGGTGCACCAAATCGGAACAGACAACGTGCGATATAACGTATGGGGAGAGGGCGAGAGCACCCGAAGGTACGGGTAGAGGTAGAGCACACAACCCGGGACATAAAACACTTGGTTGGCGCCCCTCTGTCTGTGACAGTGTTATCACAAAGCACAAGAAAAACAGAGCACACCTCGGCTGGGTGGTACTATGTGGGGTTAGCGGTGTTATGTGGCATGGGTAATACTATGTGAGATACCATGGGGAGTGGGTGGTTTGGCTGGGAGGTACCATGCGAGGCAGGTCACACCATGTGGACCAGATCGTACTATGTGGGCCAGACGGTACAATGCGGGATAGGTGGGTGATGCCATGTGGGCTGGGCTGTGGGACAAGTCATACTATGTGGGATTGGTGGTGGGACACTTGTGTCCCCCGAGCTCCCCAAAAAAATGGAGAACCAAAGAGAAGTTGCCCCCAAGAGAGAGAATCTCAATGTACTCGATGTGGTGAAATCATAGTTGTGACGCACTGGTACGGTGCGCTGTGCGGCGCGGGGCGCTGTGCGCCATGCGCGAGAGAGTGGTGCATGTGCACGAGGGAGGGAAGAGGG